TAGGCTAATGCGACGTTCACTTTACTAAACGTGCACCTCAGAGATGACTTGCGAATGTACCTTCTGACAGGATATAGTTTCTAATGTGTACAGAGGAATTAGCGGCATTCAATTCGCTAATATGTGGTAGGATACAGGGTTACACACATATAAGTAAGCAATAATACAATAAAATACATAAGTATATTTATTATAATGGATTGAATAAGTATGCGATATTGGTTAAATAGTATTGAATAGTATTGGATAAAATATTGAATAGATCGACGATTGTAACGCAGACGTGTGCAGATGCAAATCGTAGATTGAAATAATATCGAGAATGCAGAGTAATATATGGCTTATATCTATATTCAAAATTCAGAGTTCGGAATGTAACGTGGAATTGAGTTAGTATTAAATAATTAAATGTAATGATTAAATATAATGAGTGTCGTCGCGCTTTACTATTTAGGGATATGTGAACTGGCTTAAATACTCACAAGGTTAGACAATGTCTAATGTGCCTTGCTATGGTACACTTCGCTACTGTGTTCTTCCCTCTGAGTCTGAAGATCTGAGGAGCCTCGGTACCTCGGTCCAAAATGGCGGCTATGCCTCACCAAAATGGCGGCTATGTCTCGTTGTCTTCAGGACCCCGTAGTAATTGCTGGTTGAGTGCTGGATTGTTGTTGACTGGAACCACGCGACGAAATCACTGCCGTTCCGTGCCGGGTGCAGGGTTTATATACCGTAAAATGTGGCTCGCTCCTTCCATCGGGCGATGCGGCTTAGCCAATGGCAAGAGAGATGTGCCGGGGAAGTACCGGAGACAATCTGTTCCTGGTAGAGATTGCGACGGTTAAGTCCCGGACAGATGGCTTCTTAGTAGCGATAGCGGTGTTCCTTTGATGACTCATCGCCGGGCGCTCCGACTTTCCTTATCCTATTCTCGGTAGCGATGGTGGTATGCCTTTGTTGGCTATGCGCTCCGACTTATCTTATCTTCTTCTTGGTAGTGATATTTCTTAACGGTCCTTCTATAATGGTTTGCAGGTTGCAACGTGTTTCAGCGTTGCATCATGCATTGCATCATGCTTCTGGAATGTAACGGTTCTCAACCGTCTTTCTAGAACCTTCTAGAATCTTTTAGATGTTTCTTGAGAGTAAAGCCGAATTCACATAATAAAGCGTGTTTCATACCTAATTATCTCATCATTATAGTGTACTACTTAATAAACGATATTTAGGTATTATCCCTTAGAATTTGCGATTTGAAATAAAATGCATTGGACAGTTAAAACTTATCAATTTACATTTACATTGCATAGTTATACGTAAATTGATAGAGAGTTTGTGTCAGGAATGAATTTCTAAACTGTCCCTGACTAAGTTTAACACTCAATTCGCACATCTACATTGCATAGCTATAGTACCTTCGATTGTATGACGGATATAATGTTATTATGCATATTGCATATGATTTTGTCTCCTAATTTATAAATGAGAGTTTTAAGGTTAATAATATATTTGTTATAGGCATTCTTATTGGCTGGTAATGTTAGACCTCATATTTGTCGTTGGTCGGTAAGGTAGTTTTCTACCTTATCATTAGTGGGCAAGTTTCTGTTTTATCATTGGTCGGTAATGTTGATTTCCCTATAGTCGTGTGTTGGTTAGTGAAGTGCCGTCTAAAGAAAAGTTCTACATATTCGTGACTGTATGAAGTGTGTAAGACACTCAGGGGTTAGAGCGTACGACGGGTATAGTATAATTAGGGGTTATGGACATACAATGTGTACGGTGCCTAGGGGCTCGCAAGTATAAATGATGTAGAGTATACAGGGGTATTAGTAGCATGCAATATGTACGGTGTTTCAGGGGTTAGAACATACATTCGTTGTCTGATTTAGGCGCGCTTATTCTCTAACTTTGTTTCCTAACGAATGATCTAGAGCGGAGCACCCTTGTTAATTATGCCTTTTATGATAGAAATATTATTTAAAAGTGGGTTGCTGCTCCCATTGTCATTGGTGAGAAAACATGTTTTAACTTATGAGTAATTATATGTGTAATTAAATATTCGTTAATACTGGTCTTACATGTAGGTTAGAGATTGTCATGACTTATGTTAAAGGATAAATTTTTGAAAAAGATTGAAATTTTGAAATTCGTCTGGACGTTACACAACCCTTTCAATCATGTCTTTCGGGAAACATTTATTGAAATGCTTTTCACTATATTAATATTAGCATTTTGAAACCGATTATCAGATAATAACACCGCATAGTCCACCAAATTAATTATTGTGTTCATTTTATAATTATTGAAAGGATAGCCAGAAAAATAGTTGATATACCGTCCAGAATATGTCGACTTACGGTACCAATTAGTGTATAATAAATTGTACTCTCTGTGAACCGAAACATTTAGGAAATTCAAAGTACAATTCGATTCAATTTTGTATGTAAAATGTAACCGAGGATGATAACTATTAAACAAGCCCAAAACTTCTACTAATCAATATTTCTTTAAAAAAGGCATATTAAGTCGATTCTCGAATGTATCGGTTTATCTCGACAATCTCGAAGTATTGTTGCTCTTTTCTGCGATGCCAATTGGTTCTGTTACAGCGTTTACTTCGTGAGCGGCTGTCATTGCATATTTGACAGTTGTATGTATGAGGGGTTAGTGTAGTGATAGTAACGTATATTAAAGGATTTGGAGTATATAATAGTTAAAATCTGATAAATAATTGTTATTATTATTTTGTGATTGAGTGGTTTCGACTTCAGTTTTTTGTCAGTTAGAAAGAGAAATAGAAATTCGGTGATTTAAAATTATGTATATATAAAAATTCAGTTAATTTATACATAATAGAAATGCAACAAATTGAAATTATTTACACAATAGAAATTCGGCGAATTAAAACTATATACATAATAATAATAAAGAATTAATTTTATGTACAAAATAAAAATTCGACGAATTTCCGTATTTACATCGTATGTATATATATTTATATCATATATATATATATATATATGATAGAAATTCAGCAAAAATCTATTATATATAATAGCAAATTTCTATTGCAGTACATTTCTATTATATACATAATTTTAATTTGTCAAATTTCCATATGTACATAATTAATGCTTGATAATAATAATTTTTTATAATTTTAATTGCTGAATTTCTATATTTTAATTTTGATTCACCGAATTTCTACTATGTACAATACATAAGTATTCTTGAATTTCTTTTATATATATTATATTCAATTGGCCAAATTTCTATTAGGAACAATTAGTTATTTACATAATATGTAGAAATAGGGTGAATTAAACTTATGTGCATAATAGAAATTCAAGACTTAAAATTATGTATATAATGGAAAATCAAAAATTAAAATTATTTACGTAAAAGAAATACAGCAAATTAAAATTATGTTGTGATAGAAATTAGGCGAATTAAAATTATGTAATGAGACGAAATTAACAGCTCCTCGACATATGAGAAATCGTCTTGCACGATTCGAATAAAAATACTCAGTTGGCTCATATGTCGAATATCGGTGCTCTCATCCAAGCATAAAGAGAAATACGTACAGGACTTTAATCCTTCGATAACACTTAACTTTTCTGAATGTGAGTAATTCGAATAATCGACTGCATGACGATTTCTGAAATGCATCTCTATTGCAAATTTTTTACTACCGAAGGTTCAAAACCGCAAAGTAAACAAACCGTTCGATCGGAAATGTAACCGAAGAAATAATTAACTTCCCAAGACTGATCAAATTCTTGAACATATCTTTTGTGATCCATCCTTAAGATTGATTTGTTAAAAGAAGAACAATACCTTTTTTTTAATCGCAAACGTCCGCAACTCTATCCGCTGATGTACCCACTACGACGTAGAGAGCTCAAATGATTTTAGCATGCATATACGTTGAAAACAATTGACGATCGCCACGCGACGGTTGCTGCTGCGCCTGCCGCGGATTGTTTTCAACGTATATGCGTGCGAAAAATCATTTAAATTTTAAGCTAAACAATCCAAAATTTTAGGAATATATTCTCTTTTTAGAAAAATAACATTTCTTTCCGAACTTGCCTTCATTACTGACATGACTAATCAACTTAGGCTTCTTAATTTAAAGCTGCAAAAACCAACTCAAAATATTCCCAATTAGTTAGTCATGTTGATTCTTTCCGAAGCAAATTACAGTTATTTAAATCGATTAAATAACAACATTTTTCATTTTTTCCTTCTTGCCAGATTCTTTTCGAAGAACACGGCAGTAGCTGTAATTTCAAAGAAAATATTCATTTCGTAGATTCTGTTATAGAAGAATTCGATACGCGTTTCACCTGCTTCAAAAAACTTCGAACAGAATTAATTCTTTTCGAGAATCCTCTTACAGCGCCAATCGCAGAACAGCAGATTAATTTTTACGGATGAATTATGTGATATAAAATAAATTAATGAAATAAAAGTAAAAATTTATAAAATAGAAGTAAAAATGAAAAATATCTTCAAAAATAATGTATTAAAAATGATATATATCTTTTACAAAAAATTAAGATAGCATGTTTTTTTTTAATTTATTTTACAGATCAATATAGTGGACATAAATTATTATTATTAATATGATTAATAATAAATACCTTGTGAATCAATATTTTTTTTGTCGCTCTCATCACTTATAAGATCTTCATTATTGTTTGTGGGGTCTAATGTATCATTGTAAATTTCATTTGTAGATACTATGTCAAATGTAAGTTCACGCTTTTCTGAAATAAATAGAAGTTAATAAAATAAAAATAAAAACAAGAAGCAATAAGAAAAAAACATTAATATTAGAAATATTCAATAATTATATTGCAAAAAATTCAGAGGTGACATTAAATTAGGTTAATAATAGTTAATTGTAGATGTACCTTCAATCTCTAAATCTGTCATATTTGATGTAAATAATACTGGTGCATTTTATATTAGATGTGGGCTATATTAAGTACATCAGGATCAATTTTTGCTTCAGTTTCTTCTGGTCCTCCACCAGTTGCTAAACGCGATTGTTTTTCTTTAGTTAATACATCTCTCTGCGACTGCTTTAGATTTGGCCACAATTTTTTCAATTGTTGAAGTTCTCTATAATCAAAATATTGTGTAATATAATAAAGCGTATATTATTATCTGCTATATTAGGCCCTTCGCATAATCAAAAATATAAAGTTCTTACTTCTTGAGAGATTAGTGCCGATTGATTGTATTCTTTACATACTTCACTCCATGCAAGGTCTTTATCTTTTAATGTTGTGCCGTCGCTTTTTTTTATTTCTATTACATGTTTTTCTAGTATTTGTAAGAATAATTTCCTTTCCATCAATGAATAGTGTTTGTTTTTGCTTGTAGGCTTCTCTTTGCAAGACATTCTGTAAAAAATATATATTTAATATCTACTAAAGTTTAATTTTACTCAATAAGATTCAAATATCGTCGTTCATTAATTACAAATATTTCAAACCTGTATATTTCTCGATGATTTTTTTCAATGAAGATTGAAAATTGAAGAAGATGAACATGAAACACATCCGTACGAACGCAAGATAACAGCACACAAGAATACGTATATTGTATGTCTGCATGTATCATATGTGTCTCCAATGCAATGTCCTATTGGAGGAAATGCTATGTTCCTATGGAGGAATAATAGTAATATTACGAAAATAGCCGATTCGCGCGCGCGAAAATAAGCACAGGCTTAAGTATGTCTTCATCAAGTCAGTCTCAAATTAAATAAGATTTACTTGAGTGTTAACTTCTTCACGAAGATTGTCTTATTTCACGGCTATGAAATCTATGACGATTATGAAATCTATTAATCTTAAGACGATCTAGATTGAATAAAATAGACTTGATCATAATCATCTTATGTGTTAATTTGAGACTCGACTATGAATACGGGCCTTTGTCCCAACATTCCCAACCAGTCCAACCTCTTTTGACGACATCTTCGACAATCTCAGTTTGGGAAGAATTTGATATCACAATAAGCCACCTTCAAGGAATGCACAATCCCTCTACTGCAGCAATTATAGAGTTAGACAAATATTTGGCCGAACTCCACATTACCAGGACAAACGATCCTCTAATTTGGTGGGAAGCAAGAAAAAATCTATACCCAAATTTATATAAAATAATGCTCAAAAGGCTCTGCATCCCTGCAACTTCGGTCCCATGTGAAAGAATATTTTTTAAAGCGAGACAAATTTGTAATGAAAAAAGAAGCCGATTAACAACAAAAAAATTAATCAAATTTTAGTTGTGCACATAATGTTAATTTATTATAATTAATATATTATATAATAAAAATAAAATATATATATAATAAAGAAGAAAACAATTTTTTTGTATTCCTAAACATTCATGATTTATATTAAGCTTAAATAAGCGAATATAAAAGATTTTTTGTACGAGAATAAATTAAAAAAAGATAAAGAATAATTATTTATAAAGAACCGATGAATCGTATAAAAGAACCGATTCACTTAAGAGACGAACCGACTCTGAACCGCTAACCAAGGTGAACCGTCTTGCCTTCTCTAAGTTAGATGATAAAAAGAAGTTAAATAAAGTAAAATTAGAATCCCTCAGGTTGAAATATTATTGAGTTATGGCGAAGTAAAATCTTTGATAGAATGTGCGAGCAATAAATAAACCCAGTAAATTAGAAATTTACATAACAGAAAGTGATTATATTGCTCACATCAAGGAGTCACATGTAAGGGGGGAAATTTAAAATATATATTTTATTTTATATATAATAAACTTTTTGTTTTTTTCTCTTTTTTTGCTGTCACTATCGTAATCAACCTTAAAGGCTAATTGCAAAAACTTTATACGTAAACAACCAAAATTTATTAATAACTAAAAACGGATAAAGGGCAAGCCATAGTAATAATGAACAAAAGTGACTGCCTTTTAAAAATGAGCTCCTTGTTGGATGATTGAACCACTTATAAAAAAATTAGACAAAAATCCTATTAAAAAATTAACAAATAAAATTAATTCTTTGGTAAAGTCTTGGCGCGATAAGAATGTAATTGACGAAATCAACGTATAAGGTATTAAATAATACAAATGGAAATCTCCCCCAATGCTACGGGCTGCCGAAGAGATACATAAAACTGGCGTTCCTCTCCGAATTATTGTATCTGCACTTGGCAGTCCTGTATACAATATTGCACAGTACATACATAAAATTCTACACAATACTATAGAAAAACCGAAATCGCATATAAAAGACGGATGGTCATTTGCAAAAAAATAAAAAATATGATCATTAATGACAACAAAGTTTTGTTTCATTAGATGTAACATCATTATACACCAACATCTAAAGAACTTGTAATTGAGGCGATTAAAAAGAGATGGAACACAATCTCACAGAATACCACATTGAATTTGTCACAGCTTACATTCGCAATAAAAACTATATTAGATTCCACATTTAGTTTTAATGGCCACTTTTATGAACAAGTTTTCGGCAGCCCGATGGGTTCTCCATTGTCACCCATTTTGGCAGATATTGTCATGGACGATTTAGAAACCTTTTGTTTAAATTCATTGACTTTTAATGTACCGGTGTACTATAGATACGTTGACGACATCTTCACGATTTTACCACGCTCTAAGGTTAATGAAATGTTATCAGTTTTTAATGCGTACCACCATCGCCTAAAATTTATGAAATTGAAAAAGACAATTGTTTAAACTTTCTTGACACGAGTATCATCAGATGTAATGATAAAAGTCTAATCACTAATTGGTATAGGAAGCCCACTTTTTCGGGAAGATATATCAATTTTCTTTCCCACTCAAATATAAAATAATTGCATTAACAAAACTTGGTCAATAGAGCCATTCTATGTTTGACAATAAATTTCATAGTGACAATATTAAAATTATTAAAGATATTCTAACCAATAATAATTTTCCATCTCATGTTATAAAAAACAAATAAAAAAAGATTACATGTAATTAATATATTAATAATAGTTTTGACAACAAGAGAGATGAAAATAACAATAAAAAATTTGACGTCTTTTCATATTATGTTACCGTATATCAATAATCTGACTGATAACATTTCTAAAACTCTGAAGAAAAAAGGATTAAAAATAATTTATAAAAGATTCCAAAAAATTAAACACGCTAATTAAACGCGGTAAAGATGTATTACCGAAAATGAACAAAAACAAATGTAGTATACAAACTAGAATGTAATGATTGTGACGCGTCGTATATAGGACAAACAAAAAGACATTTGATTACTAGAGTAAAAGAACATTAGAATAATATAAAGACATGAAACAAGCCACTTGGTGGTCAGTAAACATAAAAACGATTGCAATCATGACTTCCGATGGCTTGAATCATCAAATTTTACATACGAGAAAAATAGACGAAAAAGAGAGATCGCTGAAATGTTCTATATAAAAAGACAAACAAATAAAATTAATTACAAATAGACACTGATAACCTTAGTCCTATTTATGACAACATTATTCAAATGATTTAAAAAACATAATACCAGTCTACAGTAGCTAACTTGTCGATATGATAGGACAACTTTCGTGTTTCTATTTTTAATATATAATTGCTGAATAAGAATAAATATGTATTACAGATCAAATTTAGTGTTAATGTAATGTTAATTTCGCTTGCCAAATTATGATTTTTGTATTCTAGCACTTGAAAAGGAAACATAGTGTGTACTTATTTTCAATAAATGAATAGCCAGTTTTTGGTCGAATTAAATGGCATCTTATTATTTGTGAAAAATTTATCACTGGCGATCAACAACTAATTGTGAGGATTATTAATATTTTACAACAAATTAATATTATAACATTACTATTATTCTATTGCTTATAACACATATTATTTTCTTTTAATATTTTTTTCAATAAAAAACTTTTATTACCCTGAATGATATTTTAAAAGTAGTTTTCTATTTATTTGAGATATTTTTCTATAAATCAAAAGAGACACACATTGCTGCTAGTCCTATACATTATTATATCTCACTAAAATTCTCTCAATATCATTAAAATAACTTTGATACTTCTGACAAATGTATTAAAATCGAGAGTACGACAGTATATACGTAAAGTTACCACAATCAAATATAAAAGTAATGATCAGAATTCAATATTTTTTTCGTATAGAATACACATATTAAAATAATTAAAGAAATTGTCCAAAAAATAGACCAATTTAAACAATTTGTTTCGCAAAATAAGAATTTAAATTTTGGAAAGTTTTACACAGCTTCAAATATCTACTCTCGAAAAGTCATTTATTGAGCAAAAATTGTCTCGCAAGTAATACACAATAGGATCTCTCCTAATAACAGAGTATCCAATAATAAATTAGGGACACTCGCACTACGTATATATATGTATATATACGTGTACAAATATATATTCACAAATATTTACGCCTCGCAGCGCGTGGCATTATATCCTCACTGGCTGGAATTCCAACTGCGAGAAAGAAGCCGCGTAGCGGCAAAGGTACGAACGAGTGCACGACTTGGCGGACGGGAAAATTTCCGCGAGTACTTTTCGCGCGCGTCTTGTCTGGTGGTGGTGTAGCATATGTTACAGGCGTTTTATTGT